GAGGCTAGAATACTTTGGATATAATTGGTCCAGCCTTCAGTCGGCGTAAAGGACATGTAGCTAGCTTCAACTCTTGGCTCCTTCGATTTTCGGTCTATCCAATGTTTTGACGAATAGCCGAAGTCCTTCCGGCGCTGCGTTTATCGCTTGGCCGTCGTCGGAGTCTCGAGTCTACCACCAGTGAGTTGAGTTTGGCTTGTGTCATTGAGTTGACTTTGAACTGACTACCTCTGTCACATTGTGCTGACTTAGGGTTTCAAATTACCGTATGTTAACTTTTTGTCGCAACGCGTTGAGTGGCGTTGACCTAGGGTTACGCGTTAACCGGCGTTGACCCCAGGGTTTCGAACGTCGAATGTTGACTTTTTGGTCACAACGCGTTGACTGGCGCTGACCTAGGGTTACGCATTGACCGACGTTGACCCTAGGGTTTCGAACGTCGAACGTTGACTTTTTGGTCGCAACGCGTTGACTGGCGTTGACCTAGGGTTACGCGTTGACCGCGTTGACCCTAGGGTTTCGAACGTCAAGTGTTGACTTTTTGGTCACAACGCGTTGACTGGCATTGACCTATGGTTACGCGTTGACTGGCGTTGACCTTAGGGTTTCGAACGTCGAACGTTGACTTTTGGTCGCAAAACGTTGGCTGGCGTTGACCTAGGGTTACGCGTTGACCGGCATTGACCTTAGGGTTTCGAACGTCAAGTGTTGACTTTTTGGTCACAACGCGTTGACTGGCGTTGACCTAGGGTTACGCGTCGACTGACGTTGACCCTAGGGTTTCGAACGTCGAACGTTGACTTTTGGTCGCAACGCGTTGACTGGCGTTGACCTAGGGTTACGCGTTGACTGGCGTTGACCCTAGGGTTTCGAACGTCAAGTGTTGACTTTTTTGTCACAACGCGTTGACTGGCGTTGACCTAGGGTTACGCGTTGACCGACGTTGACCTTAGGGTTTCGAACGTCGAGTGTTAACTTGTATTGATTTTGTCGAAACGTTCAAGCAATCGACGAGAATGGGCGAAATCGGACTTCGAAATGGGATCCGGGGGTTCGAACTGGGCGGAGCCACCCTAGGGTGTCTCAACCTTGGCCGAGACACCCTTGGGTGTCTCGGCCAAAACCGAGACACCCTAGGGTGTCTCGGTTCAAGGCCGAGACTCCCCCCCCCCTTTTTTTGCTTTTCTTTCCTTTTTTTTGTTGTTTCCTCTTTTGTTTTCCTTCTTGTTTTGGTTTTGTTTCCTCTTTTGTTTTCCCCCCTCTTTCCATATTTTCAAAAGAGGAATCCTTTTCCCTCTCAAACTAGGGTTCCTTCTTCCTTGTCTTATCCTTCCACCATTGCTCTTTACCTTCCAAGAACTCTAAACCCATTGAAACTCTTCCCCCTTAAAAGCCTAAAATTCGGATTTTTGCATCCTCTCCTTGGCCGAAATTTCTTTCCTCTCAACTAGGGTTCCTCCTTCACTCTCAAGTTCAAAGAAAGCTTCTTGGAATTGGGTAAGCTTCCCTTCAAAACTCTCCTCTTTTTTTTCAAAAAGATTGTAACTTTATGCTTGTAATGGGAGTATAACATGAATTTACATGCCAAGATCATAGCTTTTTGTTCTCATGGGTTGGATTTTATGAAAAAGATAGGCTCTTGATGATGGGTTGTGAGCATGGACCAAAATTTGGGGGTTTTATGCAAAACATGCAATATGGCCGAAATTGGGGGACTTTTGTGCAAAAGTGGACTGAAATTTAGGACTTAAATTTTGCAAGTTTAGACCACAAACTCATGACCAAAGTTTTGAGAAAGGTGTGCGGAAACTAAACTAACATTTGTGGAGGGGTCTGTTTGCAAAATTGGCTAAATTCTACAAAAGGGTTTATTTGCAAAATCAACCAAAATTGTGGGGTATTGGGGGTGTTAGATGAACAAATATGATGATCATGACCCAATTCGAGTGTATCCTTGACTAGATTTTAGCCTTGAATACGAGGGGTATTTTGGGTATTTCACCGAAATTTATCATGATCATTGTTTTGTATGCACGAAATTTGTAGGTTTAATCAGACCTCAACTATAAAATCCTATTTATTCATAGGATTTTAGTTAAAGTTCTTAATTTTCCTTTTAAATTTCGGATACTCAAATTCATGATTATACCTGACCTGCTGATTTCCATTGCAGATTCTCGATGTCTCCACCCTGACCTGCTGATTTCCATTGCAGATTCTCGATGTCTCCACGTCGACATCGACTTCATAGGAGTCGTTCTCGTTCGCAGCATAGCGAGGGAGAGGTTCCCACAGCATCCTCTCCAGCGGGATCCTTTTTTGGGGGTGAGAATCTATATTTTCTGTATCCCTGATTGATCCCTTCGCGGGTCATTAAGGAAGAACCGACACCCTCCTTCGCGGGGGTCGAGGTTTCGGGAAATTCGCGGTTTTGTTACACCCTCATTTGGCCCCTTCGCGGGTCATTCGGGAAGGGCCGACACCCTCCCTCGCGGGGGGTGAGGTTTTCAGACTTATTTTGCTTGGCCAATTCAAGTCTTCTGGTATATTGGGGTGATCTTGTGTCATCTTACACCTTGTAGGTCGGTGTATGTTACCACGTTATTTACGTGATGATGCATACCGTTCTTCCAGTGTAGGACACTCAAAATCATCTCTCCAATTACCCCGTGAATGATCCTATCTCGCTCTTTATGAGATGGATTTAATTTATGGATGATTTTCTGACTCTACCCTTTGTTTTGTTGCAGTCGAGTTCCCCACGGGCAGTCTCTCTCCTCATGCTACTACTGGTTGTAGTGGGGAGGTTTTTTCTTCAGTTTCCATCAGGCAGGCTATTGGTCCACTCCCCCAGTTTGATAGAGATCGTTCCGATGAATCCTATCGTTTGATACGGGATGGAGGGCGTCATTGCTTACGCCAGCTGATCACGGATGCTCCTTTTACTGCAGATTCCATTTCTACTCAGGCTTTAGAGAAGCCCAGTTTTCTGTTCGGAGATCATATTGAGGATCCTGCTAAGTTGATTCTTACCGAGGAGCATTGGCTGAATCATGACGAATGAGCTCTCCTGTATATTCCTTCCATTCCTCGTCAGTATTCTTTCACTCATTTGGAGGGACAGGCCGTAGAGAGACAGATGCCCTGGCGTCTTACCGATGATGCTGATCGAGTTCAGTGTGGATATACATCCCAACATAAGACTCCTGGTTCTATTGGGTATCATTACATTTGTGGTCTTCGACCAGGGATTATGGGGTCTTAATACCGCACCCCCAGGCGAGTTATCAGCAGCCGCTCCTACTGTGAAGAACCGTCTGGCTCATCTTGGGAGGAGGTTACCTCCACCAGATTTTAGATGCTATGGTTGGGCTTTCTCACAACCCAAGGAATGGTGGACGCGCATGACCAGCTACGTGTTGGGACGTTGGGAGGATGATTTGAAGAGCAGTGGGTTGTACGCACCTATACGAGCCACTATGTACGGACTCCCGGTCAGCTGCCGCCATTTCTTAGCATTGTTGGAGACATATATCCCCGATAGCAACACATTTCTGACTAGTGGTGGGGAGTTGGGGCTGGCCTTGCATGAGATGCACCAAGTTTCTGGCCTTCCAATGGGGGATTGTCCATACCATGAGTACTTCCCCTCGAACCAGCAATTGGAGTGGCTAAAGAAGGATGCTCCCGATATGTACGATACTCTTTGGGATCTTGCCTGCCATTACCACACCTCTCTGATTAAGGTTTCTACTCAAGCGAAGAGGAAAAGGTAGATCAGTTTGAAGCAGTTTGCTATCTATTTGTTCCAGTATTTGGAGGGTGATTCCGGCGAGCTCATTCGTGAGTTAGATGTTTTGACACCTACCGCCGTAAATGAGTTGATGGAGAAGGCTGAGGCTTGCTCTTACACCATTGCCAGTGCTGAGGGAGCTTTTCCTGCAGGAACCAAGTTTCGTTCGTTCCTTTGTCGTGCACAGAAGTCCATTGAGCCCAGGACTCTGCTAGCAGGCTATCTTGCCCTCTGGTTGAAGAAGTGTGTCGTTCCGTATCAGCTTTCAGACGCCTTACCTCTCGAGGTGCTCTTCCCTGCAGTTCAGCTAGCTTATGGGAGGGAGCTTTCCCTGCTCCCAGCGATGATTGCTGGTATCCATTGTGGGCTTAGGCATCTGGTCAATGGTTTTGCGCAGGTGGGTTCCGAACCGTCGGCCGAGCTTATTTGTGTGAAGGTCGAGCTTCCTTATGCGTATGTGATGGCGTGGCTTGTTCTTCACCGTCCTGACTTGATGTCGGCGCCCAGCACTGTTGATGTCCCTGTTTCTTTCGTGCAGCTGTTGGAGAGGAGCAGATAGCTCGGGAAAACATTCAGTGATGTACAACGAGAGCTTCAAGTTCGTAAGAGCTGGGAGTTCTTCAAGTGTTTTCCTCGCTTTTCAGGTCGCTATGGTGATGTGCTGATTGATGAGGAGAAACCCAGAACTAATCGGACTGCTCTTGACGTTGGTTGTTTCCGCTGGTTGGTAAACATCCGTGTTGGGTATCTCGTTCTCCGGGTGAAGAATCGTTGCCACATAGAACCTTACCTTCCCTGCCGTTTTGCTCGTCAGTTTGGCTACGACCAACTATATGTTGGGAATCCGAGCCGTGGTTTGAAGGTTAAGGGAGGGCTTATTGACGGCGTTCGGGCATGGCTATGGACTATGGTGGGCTGCACTGGAGCCCATTTTGCTCTTCCTTCATCTAGGCGTAAGCCGTTGATTACTTTCCTCAGTTGCAAGTGGTTCCTTTCTGCCAATGAGTCCATAGGTGTGAGGAGTCTTTCAGAGTTGCAGTCTGAGCACTTGGTTCAAGTCACTATGATGGCTACTCGTAAGGCTGAGCTTGCTAGGAAACAGGGGAAGAAGCCTGCCAAACCTTCTCTCTCGAGCAGAGACAGGATGGAGGACAATGAAGAGCTCCTTCCTACTGATGATGAGGACGAGACTTCTGAGGAGGAGTATATGGATATAGATACTGACAAAGAAGAACTTAATGCAGGTTTGTCATGCTCTTTAGCCTTCTTTCTCAATTTTAATTGGTATCAACGAAAGGTCTTATTCACTTATCCTAACGAAATGACTCTTATCACCCCAGGTAGGACAGTCGATGAGCATGAGTCGCTCGCTTCTCGTTATGCAAGATCCAGGCCTAGCGGCAAAGCTCCTACACAGGTTGAGACGCGTGGCAAGTCCGTGCACGAACGACCCATTGGTTCTATGAGGGCTGGTATTCCGAAAAAGAAGAAGACCGCTCATAAACCACACGTTGGTCGGCGCCCCTATGGAGTGGATTTAGGAGACATCGCCGACGGAGAGGAAGGTAATATTTTACTGTCTTTATTGCTTTAAGATGGTTTACCTTCTGGGATTCGTAACCATGTTTTATGTTCCAGGACACTATGAAGAGGGCGAACTTCCACTGGATCCTGTATTCCCTGGTTCTGATAATCTGGATAGCTTCATGCAGCAGATGTGTGACGTCATTCGTGACGATTCCATGGATGTCGATACGAACCTTGATACTGAGCAGGTTAATAGCGTTGAGCCCGCCATTCTATGTTCAGGTATATCTAATTCCGATGATACCCTCCTCGAGTAGCATTTAGAAGAGTTAGGGAATCCAGGATTCATTATTTTTTTGATGCTTCGCTTTCTTTTCTTTCAAGTAACTTGAAGAACCCAAGCATGGATATTGGGGAAAAAGAATTTTCTGTTCCTTCTGCAGGTACCTCTGAGCTTTTCCTTCTTTCCCCATCTTCTTATATATATATATATCCAACACTTAAATTATTCTGCAGATGTCGTAATAGAGAAGCCAATTGAGGATGAGGCCTTTCATGATGTAGGTTTCGAGGAACAGGGGTGTGTCTCTGCACCAAGTTTCTCGGGACCCGACATTGGATTATTAGTCGACATGCTGGCTGAACAGGCCACCAGAGGAACCGTGGGACCACCCTTTGAGAGTGATTCATTCACAGGTATATATCTGATTCCCTTCCTTTTGCCTGATCTTTTGTCTGACTAACGAAGGATTAATATTACAGTATTACCTCGGAGTGACGGACTTGCAGGTATGCATACGATCTAGGACGTCGTGCTCCTTTTCATTTGTCTGATTTTTTGACTAATAGATGGGTGTAATCATAGGACCAGCCACCGGGACCGATACTCTTACGACTCCTGGTATTCCCCGTGTACCTGAGGACGATGGACTTGCAGGTATGCAAATGATCTTATCATCCCGATTCTCCTTATTTGTCTAAAGTTCCATTTTGACTAATAAAGAAATGTAACTATAGGACCAGCCGTTGTGCCTGATGCCACTACAGTTTCTGGGACCGATAGTTTGCATAAAAGCGGTGTCTCCCTGCCACAGCCGAGAGGTATAACCGATTTGCCTACAGGGGTTGAAATACCCTCCACGACTACTCCTGCCGTTATCTCGGAGCCTGTCAGACCTCAGCCCGAAGGGACCTCCGTTGGCGTTGGTATGCTCAGAATTTGCCTTTAAATTTTCTTATCGTATTCGATAATCTCTTAGCTTTCCACACTGTTGCTTGTAGGATCTCGATCATCTCTATATGAGCGTGTCCGCGCCCTTTTGGCCGATACCGATCCCGACAAAGACATTTTTCGTACAGACCTCGGCCTTTTTACCGTCTTTTTTAACGGCATGATCGAGAAACTTCTTCATCGAGGATATTGCTTCGATCAGTTCAGGCGTTCCTTTTCTCGCTACATGACAATGATCAGAGAAGAAGGGTACCCAGAGCTGGCCGATTCCTTCACCGCCGATTTTATTGTTCTGGAGTCGGAGATCCGAGAGTTGAAGGAATTGAAGGCTAATGGGGCTTCTTCCTTCGTGTCTTCTCAGATGGAGCATAGGCTGGCACAGTGGCGCGACCTGAGATCTTCCATCGGCCGCGAGCTTCAGTCACATGAGAGTTCCGTTGCGCAGCTGATGGCTACTGTGGCGAGGAAGGATACCGATAGAGCCGGGTTACTCAGCTCTTTGGATTCCGGCCATGAGGAAGTGGTTAGGTTGAAGGAGGCCTTGAAGCACGCCGAGGAGTCCGTTACTATTATTGCAGAAGACCTGGCTGGATTAGAGCGTTCTCGTGGACAGGCCCTCGAGAAGCTAGGCTCTACACAGGAGAGATTGATGAAGCTGAAGAATAAAGCTGTGAAGATCTTGAACAGTTCTGAAGAATCTGTCTGAGCTGGCCTGCAGGCAGAACTTGAGCAGAGTTATATAGATAGGCTTTCTAGTTTAGAGTCTCATGTTCTTAGCCGCCAGCTGCCTTCGGGCTAACGAGCTTTTTATTGTATGCTTTGACTTAATCTATTAATAGAGACTCTACATTTGATTCATTTATGATATTTCTTTATTTATTTTGAACCTAGCGATGATAATATTTACGGGATTTTTGGCAAACCCCCAGCCTTCAACGGGTTTGATATGCCTTTACCGATTACCGTTTGAATCGGGCTAGCATGTGAATTATTAAAACCCGTCTCACATGTAACGTTGTGCTAAGAAAATTGCTTTTCTTAGACTTGATGCTATGATTTTGGATACATAGACTTAACCATTTCTTATAGGGAAAAGGTACCCTGCACCGCGTATTAGACGACGACTTATCCCTTCTTAGGCTTCGGGATAAAATTCCCCAGGCTTAGACCCTGGTGTCTTTTTTAATCGGCGAAAGACTAAACCGGCAATGCGTGTTAGATATAGACTTTGGGATTTTTGGCAAACCCCCAGCCTTCAACGGGTTTGATGTGCCTTTACCGATTACCGTTTGAATCGGGCTAGCATGCGGATTGTCTGAATCCGTTCCGTATGTAACGTTGTGCTAAGAGAGTGAATTCTCTGAGACTTTGTGCTATGATGCCGAATACATAGGCTTCGCCCTTGTTACGAGAATAGGCTACCCGGCAACACGTGTTAGGTGTTGACTCGTCCCTACTTAGGCTTCGGGATAAAATTCCCCAAGTTTAGACCTTGGTGTCTTCTTCAATCGGTGAAAGACTAAACCGGCGACGCGTGTTAGGCGTAGACTTATCTCTATTTAGGAGTTAAGATAAAATTCCCCATGCACAAAGTGTCTGGATTGGAAGTTGAAAATTGTGTCTTTTCTAAGAACAAAGACAGACTGGAAAATAGGAGAGGAAGAATTTTATATACTATCTCCCGGTACTGAAGAGGAAGAATTTTATATTCTATCTACGGTAGGAAAGGAAACTCAAGGTGGGATCTCCACTCCAAGAATCGGAAAGATTCAAATGACCCTAACTTTTATAGGATTGGCCATTTGATCCCAAAAAGAATCTCTCATTTATTGAGGAGAAAGCCCAATTTCGACCCTAACTTTTATAGGTGTAGGGTGAAAATTTGATTCTTCCGAAGGAAGGAGTTTCGTTTGTATTTATAAGAAAGCTTATTACAAACTAACAAATCAAATATTTACAACAGAAGCAGAGGGAAGGCCCTCTTTGTTTTGTGTGGGGACTTTAGGTGGCGATAGGATGCCTCGCTCGGTGCTCGTGCCGAGTCTGCTTCCCTTGGACGATCCGATCGAAGTTGATGCCGGAGCCGGAGCTTCGGTTCTCAAATGAGGGAGCCTTTGGCAAAGGTCCAGGTTCAACCTTTGGGAGATTAGCCAGCAGAATATGCAACGGCCAATCCCCCTTCTTCATGCTGCTGAAGATGGGTTTTAACAGGCAAGGGATGGCATGGGCTCTCCCTTGATTCATGGGATTTGACCACTAATAGAGGTGAGGGAGATAGCTTGACTGCTCCTTGAATTATGGGATGTGACCACACGTTGTTCGGAGACGTCCTGCTGTTCATTCGTACCGTCAATGGTCATTCGAAGAGCTGTGCTCTGCATCACGCTACATAGGAGTGGGAAAGCCCCTCCTCGTATGCGTGACAACGGCTGTCAGATGCTTGCGTGGATCTGACCAACCACCGAGCGTTGGCGGCTCTCGTCCCTTCACCTGGACAACTGAGGTGAGCCGCATTTATGAGGGTGCAGGCTGTTTCGGCGCCTGTCCGCTCATTCGTACTGTGGACGGCCATCTGACGGGCCTGGAGTATTGTGCCCTCTCCCTTGATTTGTGGGATTTGACCACTGATGTAACTGTTCCCATACTCCAAGTGGGCAGTTGACAGTGAGCTGGCGAGTCTGCAGCTTGGGTCTGCAGGCGAGCTTGCAGGCGAACTGGGTCTGCAGGTGAGTTTGGGACTGCAGGCGGACTTGGGTCTGCAGGCGAGCTAGCAGGCGAACTGGGTTTGCAGGCGAGCTCAGGTGCGCAGGCAGACTTGGGTCTGCAGGCGGATTTGGGACTGCAGGCGAATTTGAGTTGCAGGCGAGCTCCTGAGCATGGATTGAAGAATAGGCCGTAACTTTCAAACCGTAAGTCGGAATTGGACGAATTATATATGAAAATCGCCTATCTCGACGAGATGGAGCCATCCGAACCAAGCCGATTCGCTTCCTCCGTTTTGCCAAATTCCTTACGGTTTGGGAGATATCTGCGTTTTCCCCTTTTTCGCTATTTCGGGTGAGGTTTTAGCAGTTTTGTTCTGAACTTCTCTGATAAGGATTTAAAGGCAATTTTTATTGCCTACAAAACCCCCTCCAAAGTTTTCAGACCTGAATCAGGCCGCATGGGGTCTGGAACACTTTGGATATGAAGTCCCGTAAAGTGATCCCTGCTCTTCACTCGCAGCTGATGATCGCCTTCTAGGATTTTGAGCAAACCCTCAGCTATCAACGGACTTGATTTGTCTTTACCAACTGCCGTTTGAGTTGGACTAGCCATGCTCTTGCCCTTAGCATGGTAAGTTGTCGAGGAGTCTCTCTTAGGCTCAATGCTAAAATTTCTCCTCTATCCTTAGCCTTTCGAGGCGTTTGGATTTAAGGGAGCAGTTTAACCTCGTATACCAGTCGGAGGGTAGGAGCAGTTTAGACTCATGCACCAGTTGGAGTGTAAGGGGGCAGTTTAGACTCATGCACCAGTTGGAGTCTAGGGGGGAAGCTTATCTTAGGGCAAAGATGAAGACGAACCCTGATTTGTCTTCTCTTGGGGCAAAGACGAACCCTGAAATAGCAGCACATCGCATAGTAGGCCACTATCAAACAACAACGCCTTTTATGGGAAAGACGGTGCTGGGAGAATCAAATCGTTCAGGGACGTATGAGTGTGACGATTGATTGGACAACATCATTTGCGGGAATGATGGTGTCGGCTATCAGAGGTAATCGTTAACATGATAGGGATTGCCGCGATCGGAGCGACTTTGAGGACCTACCATCCTTTTGAAGAGGATTGGTAAGTTGATTTGTCAGAGGTGACCGTTAACATGACAGTGGGGGTCCCGCCATCCTATTGAAGAGGATTGGCGGGGGATTGTGGCTTTGGTCCTAACTATCTGAAGGTTTGACCAAGTGGGAGTTTGATGCAGCCCACCTGAACTGCTAGTCTCGCCTGTTTTGAGCGGTTCGCCATAACCGGGAACCTGGCTCAAGAAGTGGGGCTCGCCTAAACTGTTAAACTTGCCTGATTTGAGCGGTTCGCCGAAACTGGGAACCTGGCTCAAAGAGATGGGCTCGCCTAAACTGTTAAGCTCGCCTGATTTGAGCGGTTCGCCGAAACTGGGAACCTGGCTCAAAGAGATGGGCTCGCCTAAACTGTTAAGCTCGCCTGATTTGAGCGGTTCGCCGAAACTGGGAACCTGGCTCAAAGAGATGGGGCTCGCCTAAGCTGTTAAGCTCGCCTGATTTGAGCGGTTCGCCGAAACTGGGAACCTGGCTCAAAGAGATGGGGCTCGCCTAAGCTGTTAAGCTCGCCTGATTTGAGCGGTTCGCCGAAACTGGGAACCTGGCTCAAAGAGATGAGCTCGCCTCAACTGTTAAGCTCGCCTGATTTGAGCGGTTCGCCGAAACTGGGAACCTGGCTCAAAGAGATGAGCTCGCCTCAACTGTTAAGCTCGCCTGATTTGAGCGGTTCGCCGAAACTGGGAACCTGGCTCAAAGAGATGAGCTCGCCTCAACTGTTAAGCTCGCCTGATTTGAGCGGTTCGCCGAAACTGGGAACCTGGCTCAAAGAGATGAGCTCGCCTCAACTGTTAAGCTCGCCTGATTTGAGCGGTTCGCCGAAACTGGGAACCTGGCTCAAAGAGATGAGCTCGCCTCAACTGTTAAGCTCGCCTGATTTGAGCGGTTCGCCGAAACTGGGAACCTGGCTCAAAGAGATGAGCTCGCCTCAACTGTTAAGCTCGCCTGATTTGAGCGGTTCGCCGAAACTGGGAACCTGGCTCAAAGAGATGAGCTCGCCTCAACTGTTAAGCTCGCCTGATTTGAGCGGTTCGCCGAAACTGGGAACCTGGCTCAAAGAGATGAGCTCGCCTCAACTGTTAAGCTCGCCTGATTTGAGCGGTTCGCCGAAACTGGGAACCTGGCTCAAAGAGATGAGCTCGCCTCAACTGTTAAGCTCGCCTGATTTGAGCGGTTCGCCGAAACTGGGAACCTGGCTCAAAGAGATGAGCTCGCCTCAACTGTTAAGCTCGCCTGATTTGAGCGGTTCGCCGAAACTGGGAACCTGGCTCAAAGAGATGAGCTCGCCTCAACTGTTAAGCTCGCCTGATTTGAGCGGTTCGCCGAAACTGGGAACCTGGCTCAAAGAGATGAGCTCGCCTCAACTGTTAAGCTCGCCTGATTTGAGCGGTTCGCCGAAACTGGGAACCTGGCTCAAAGAGATGAGCTCGCCTCAACTGTTAAGCTCGCCTGATTTGAGCGGTTCGCCGAAACTGGGAACCTGGCTCAAAGATGGGCTCGCCTAAACTGCTAGGCTTGCCCGATTTGAGCGGTTTGCCAAAATCGGGAACCTGGCTCAAAGAGATGGGCTCGCCTAAACTGCTAGGCTCGCCTGATTTGAGCGGTTCGCCAAAAATGGGAACCTGGCACAAAAGGTTGATTCCCCCAAGCTTGAATAATAATTCAGGCTGTCGTGGGGGATGAGGGATTGCGCCTCGAGACGAGCGAGAGCTTTTCGTCGCCGCTGTTTGGATCTTTTTGAACGAGGAGCGTTCATGTCGACGACGGAGGCGTATTCTGCGTCGACACAAATGGTTGATTCCTCTTGCACAGGGGTCTGCGAGGATCGTTCATCGACCCATTCAGCAGCCCCTAGACCTGCATTCTCGAATCT